GAGCCTGTGTAGCTTGCCCTTAACTTTCCATTCATAACAATTCTTATTACTTAAATCTAGCAAAATATCTAGGAACATTAAGCTAACTAGTTAACTAAACAAACCTATTTAATAAGGTCGTTGACTACGTAATCAAAAGACATTAAAGAAGTTTACTCAGTCTGTCCTTCCGTCTGTCCTAGTCTGCCATCCTGATAACATAGTGCACATAAAAATTATATCCCCTAATAGCAATTTTCAGCCTTTTTGTTGTTCAAGAAGTCACTTTTTTATCCACTGATTAGCGCTCACCGATCATTAATGGAACTCACTCGTCATTTTGTTAATAAATCGATACGCAAAGGTTCTATACGGACGTATATGGTTTCGATTATTCGTGTCTGTGTAAGCAGTCTGGATTTTAATTCTTTTCATGCAATTATGATTTCTTTGCTTAATCGCTCAAAGCAAAATCAGACGTGAGGGAAACACCACACACGCTGGGATAAAAAGAAAGTCGATTTTTACGCCCTGGCTTCCTATGGCGTGTCCGCACGTGGTCCCACTGTGCGACTACCGTGAAAAAGTCCGATTAAATCATTTTCAAGGCATAGGTAAGGATTCCTTATAAACAACACTGCAGTTTACTATACACAACTGTTCGCTTGCGATGGTCGAATTGACACACAACATATATAACTAATTCCTTATCGCATCGGAGGTTATTATTTAGTTCAGTTATCAGTTTTTTGTTTACTTTTATTACCTTTAGTTTAGTTTTTAATTGAGTTATGTTAGTTGACCTTAGTTTAGTTGACTTTAGTTTTTTGGTTTCTTTTAGTTTAATTCAGTTTACTTTAGCCTTAGTTTTATTAGGTCATTATTTCATTTTTTATTTGTTTCGCTTCCTCTTGATACGCTCCACCATATAAACCTTGATACCACAGATTTCGTACTACGGAAACCTAGCGTAAATTGTTACTGTAGTGTTGTTTATATGGAGGCCTTGCCGAGGCGCATATTGATGCAACAAAAAATACCACATCCTCGTCATGAAAATTCTTGTAAACTTTGCCTCAACCCCATTCGCCATAGGAGGATAGATAAGCTTGGCCTTAAGCCCCGTCTTTCCAACGACATGTTAGTCGGAATATTGAAGTTAGAGCACAGAGAATTTAAAAACAGCCCAGTTAAACATACATAGGCTTTACTTTTAAAAGCGAATTCCAATTAAACCAGACTGCAAGAAGTAAACGGGTAAGGAACGTCAAGAGATTCGAACAGGA